CCAGGAGATAGATCCGTCCTTGTGTACCTGTCGGGTGTCTGCCAGTGGTCCACAGGAGTTCTACATTGGAGACTCTGTTCCTGATGAGTTGGACTCGGGCGAGAACGGGGTGGACAGCAATCTGGTTTTGGGCGATGGTGGGATGGAGTCGTGGCTACAGGAAGAGTGGGGAGCGTATGGACCTTCTGAGGTAGCGCAGCTCAAGACCGTCGCGGAGGAAAAGGATGTCTCCTACCAGATTGTCGGGGCTGAAGTTCCGTTGGAAGTGGGGTGGGATTTGTTTGAGGTCTACTTGGATGGACTTCGTCTGGCTTTGGTGCAGGAGGAGTATGCCGAGAGAGACCACCTTATTCGACAAAGTGAAGACGGTGATGAGTGCCAAGGACCTCTTGCCCAGTGGATGTCCAGCCGAAGGGCCTTGGAGGAGGTGTTGGGATTGGCCAAGGAAGTCGAGGATGACCCGCAGTGTGCTGGCCTTCGTAAGGCTGAGGCGACGGTGGACGACGAGGAGGCTCCCCTTCACACTAAGACGATCCCCAACGAGATTGTGCGCCGGGAGATTGAGAATGTGGGTGCCCAGCATGCTCTCCGAGTACGAGTCCCTTGTAAGAGACAATGAAGCAGTCGAACCGTTCCCGCCGGAAACTCTGGAACAGTGGAAGAAGGAAGGAAAGGAGTTTGACTTGGTGCCGGGGAAGACTGTGCACACTGTGAAGGCGTTCACCGGACGACTGAAGAGCCGAGCGGTCATCTGTGGGAATTTCCTGGGGCAGAGTTTCTCCAAGGATCAGAAGTACGCAGCTGGAGCTGATGGGGTGTTGACTAGGGTCCTCCTTCGGATGGTTGCGCTGATGGGCTGGAGCCTATGTGTGATGGACGTGCGCGCCGCCTTTTTGCTGGCTCCTCTTCTATTTCAAGAAGATCGTCCTACGTTGGTTCAGGCGCCGAAGATGTTTCTCCTGGGAGGAGTGTGTCGAGAAACCATTTGGCGAGTCAAACGGGCTCTCTATGGAATGGTGACTTCTCCTCGATCTTGGGAGGTGTATAGGAACAAGACAATGGCCCAAATGCGGGGAAAGGTTCCGGAAGGTGAAGTTCGCTTCGTCCCCTCCGAGATCGATGGAAGCTTGTGGTATGTCATGGTGGGCGGAAGACGCGCAGGAGCCATCATCTGCTACGTGGACGACCTTCTGATTGCTGGAGAAAAGAATGTGGCTTCCGCGGCTCAAATGGTTGCCCGAACATGGAAGTGTACGGAGCCACAGTGGGATGATGTGTCGTTCAATGGCTTTGAGATTCGGAAGACCGATGAGGGCCTGTTGTTGAGCCAGGACAGCTACACCAAGGATTTGTTGGCTCGTTACAAGGACTTCGATGGTTTTGAGGAAACTCCGGCCCCGGTCCAGCTCAATGCGGAGGACTTTGTGATCAAGGAGGACGAGTGCACGGCTGATTTTGTGCGAGCAGCTCAGACCATGGCGGGCGAGCTTCAGTGGCTGGCCGGTCGTTGTCGTCCGGAGGTACTGTATGCTGTGAATCTCCTGTCACAGGCCATCAGCAAGAGTCCAAAGGAGGCCGTGTACCGAGGGGGCCACTTGATTCGTTACCTCAAGCGCTTCCCCGAGGCCGGAATCTTGTACAAGAAGGAGGCCCAGTTGACCGAGGACGCTCAAGTATCCTCTGCGGGCATCGTCATCGAGGGCTTCTGTGATGCGAGCTTTGCCCCGAACTCTGGAAGGAGTCAGCAGGCCATCATGATCTTTGTCATGGGCAGGTTGGTGGCCTGGACCAGTAGCCGGCAAGCTTTCGTGACTATGTCAACCGCGGAAAGTGAACTGGTTGGCATTTGTGAACTTACCACGTGTATGAAGTCCATCGAGCAGTTAGTCGCCGAGGTGATGATCCGCACTGGAGCAGCGGCCAATGAGGTGAAGAAGGTGATCTGCTCCGACTCCCAGGCGGCGTTGTCGGTGTGCCGTTGTGCCGCTGGCAGCTGGCGCACCAGGCATTTGAGGATCCGAGGAAACATGATCAGGGAACTGCTTGAGTTCCCCGACTGGGTCGCCTACCACATTGATGGACGGCTGATGATTGCCGATTTGGGGACCAAGCCTCTTTCCTCGGATCGTTTTGCCTTTCTCGTGGACAAGATGCGAGTGGTAAGGAAGCGCCGTACCGTTACAGGAGCGGATCCAGTTCAGGTGAAGAAGTTGCTTGCGCTCCTATGTTTGGTGTCGCTGGTCGATGGTGCAAGAGGTGCGGAAGCCGGAAATGGTTCTGTGGGCTCCTTCGACTACGGTTTCTTCATGATCTGCATTGTTGCCGTGATTGAAGGGGGTCTTGTCACGACTATGGCCGGGTGAACACCGAGGCCCTGCGAGTCCCCGGGCAGAGACCGGCTCGAGTAGGTCAACCACTTCCGAGGGAGTGGCTGATCGACGAGAGGGAGACTCACCCGATGACTCCTCGGCCGCATCCTCCAATAGGCTGCGTCAGAGAAGTCGTCTTACCGGGGAAAAGCGTCCGCCTACGCCTCCAGTGCCCGCACCTTTCGAGCCCCTGGAGACTGTGCACGGTAACTACAACGACTACAGTTTCAAGCCGCCGACCGGAAAGCGCGACTACTGGGAGTGGAAGGAATCTGAGGGCGTAGTAATTCGCTGGCATCCGACTCCCCGTACTTTGATGTTTGTGCCGGGACAAACCGCAGCAGGACCAACGCAGGCCCAGCTCTCGGGACATCGTGCCACCTACGCGACCTTTGCCAACGGGGAAACCAAGAAGATTGTGGACAACTACCGGGAGATTCACAAACCTGCTCATCCCGTTGCTGATCGTGAATGGAAAGGAAGAACAGTGCTGAAATTAGCACCCGGGGCGAACCGCCCAGTTTCTGAATGCCTGATGTAAAGCCTTGAGTCTTTGAATGCCGCCGCAATTTGCGGCTTAGAACGTGGAGCGTTCTACGAAAAGGGGGGCCATACATGTAAAGCTGCAAGACCCCCTTCTTTTGAATGCTGTTCAAGGCCTAACCTCCCTGCGTTCAGCGGATTGCTGAAGGGGGAGTGCGTTGGAGCAGGGATGTTCAGCATATGTAAGCATGACTTGCACTTGAAGGCTTTTGGATTCAAGAAAAGGAGTGCCTCCGCCGCCGGTTTCTTAGGCACGGCCTT